TATTGCTTTATACCACTTGTGTCTTTTCTTTGAACCAAGTGTTGAATTATCTTAACTTTAGTATTAGTGTTATCCAATTTTTTAGAGTTAAAACAGTCTTGGCTGGATTAGTTTATAAGTTCATCTTTTGATCGATTTTGTTAGATAGTTTTATAAGTTCAAACATTCAAGCTCTGTTCACTTTTATTCTTTGGTAGCTAATGCCAATTAAACTGCCTTGCAACTCCCGTGGTGGGCTCTTTCCTTGCTTTCTTTGTCTAAAAGAGTCCACTCAATTTTCGTGCTTCGCTTGTTCAATGACTGTTTTGCAACAACTCTCTTCCATGCTGCACTAATCTCATTTCTTTATCAAAAGTGGCATCTAGGTTTACTTATTTTCAGGTACTGTTTACAGTGTTTCAATTTCTTAATTAGTGGATGGATTTATTTTATGGTTTCTTATTGGTGTCACATTACTGAAACTAAACGTGTTATAGTCATTTGCCTTGTTAGCACAGTGGAGCGGTCTCAGTAAAGATGAATGTGCTCATTTATGCTCCATCGTTATTTCTCCTCAATAGTCTGAAGGTATATTGATTTTGATTGTTCACACTTCAAAAGTTTGGATCTGTATTTACATTTTAACCAATCTCTATTTGTTTGCTGGAAAATTTTGAAATGCAGGCCATGGATATTATTGGGGTGATATCTGCTTTACCAGGTGCAGCATTAGTGCAGGTGCTTATTTTTCAATTCTGCTTGATAGCTTGACAATGTTGACATATTGCATAACTACTACACAGATCTCTAAGCTCTTATTTTTCAATTCTGCTTGGATGTCAAGGTTTGGGCTTGATAGTGCCCTCAACACGTCCATGATCATGTCAACCATAATATCTCTATAGGAGGATTTAAGTTCATTCAGCCGATCAAGCATAATGAGCTTAACATTCCTGCTCCGTCGAAAGAAACCTCTCAATACTCTCTGGTGCATCAACCAAGAGATGCTCGCCTTGTGGGAGCTTGTAAATTGACTTCACAGCAAGAATTGCATTTTTCCTAACATAAGGGTGTCGATGTTCCAAGTTAGATGTAATTGTTCCACATCTGTTCTTGTATTCTAGTGTAATTGTGCTTAACTTTTTATTAATTTACTTTGTGAGAGATTGAAACTTGAAATATGGTTTCAAAAGATATGTTGCAATAGACCAATGTTGATGCATCATTGCACTTTTTAAAGTGTGTGTGCTTATTTTGTCTTTTTACTTGTAAGTGGTTTATCTATAATCAATGATTAATATTATTTATTATCACTGATGATAGTCATCGTGTTTACACAATCAAAATTGTATTTGACAAGAATTGTGAGAA